CACACACAGACACACACACACTCTCTCTCTCTCTCTCTCTTTCTTCTTCTTCTTCCTCTCTCTCTCTCTCTTCCTCTCTTTTCTGTGCACATTGACAGGCTGTTAAAGAGGGGGAAAGGGGCCAAGGGTCCTTCTTACCCATTCCAACTATTCCACCACAACACAAAACGCACCCTTCTCTTCTCCTTTTATTAAATTAAATATATCATTCCCGTTGATCATAATAAGGATGGCTAACAGAAAGTAGAACAAATGTAACCATTAACTTTCAGACTTCTTTCCGTCTAAATACTGCTATCAAATGATAACAATAATATGATCATTGAAATCACAAAACTTCTTATGGAATTTTTTAAAGGCTTCCGTGCTCAGTCAAGTGCGCAGAGCACGGTACATTTTTGGTCTTTTCTCGGATTGTCAGAGGAAATTCTAATTGCTAAGCTCTCTGGTCTGATCCAACACAGTCACTATCGGTCAGGACCGTTCCTCTTCTGGTCACGCTCTGTTTCTTTTGCTTGGAACATCTAGTTTTGAAGTTGCACGATTCTCTAAATTCTCTGGCTATGACATTCGTTTTCGAACCCTGTTTCTATTCCTTTAGCATTAAATTTCACACGCTACAACCAGTTATTTTAAGTATTTTACAGTGTGCAAGCATGCAGTAAATCCTATCTTTCTGTACGAGAGAGCGCAAATGATGAGGCATTCTAACAGAATAACCTACATTTGAATACGTTTTGCCTCATTCAGTTCATTATTATAGAACGGATTTCGAACCGCTCAACCTCTCCTTATTTTTTGACGACGTCTGGCCCTAGGTGATTCAAAATTAAATGAAGACTACAGGGGGGGCTGGCCATGTCACATTTTCCTACGCTAACAGGAAATTTAAATCCAAAGTCTTCGTTTCCTTTCAAGTGAAGAATTTCTTGGACGTTTTTGTGTTCTCCTGTTGAAATATTCATTTAGTGGTTGTTTTAAACAGGTTTCGTCTTTTTTTGTTGACCTCATTGTCTTTCATTGGGGTGATTTAAAGAACAAGACTGTCGTTTTTAGCTCCATCAGTATTCAAATGGCTTCTCCGATTGTAGCCGTTTTGAAAACGAGTTGGCAGACATTGGTCAAGTTGCATGGGTTTTATTTTTAAATGAAAAAATCATTCAGCGTTATCAAGGGAGTACATGATCCTCTCGTTCCTCTCATTTCTTGGCCTATTTTTACAATTATAATACTAAAGTACTGTCAAGTTTGCTCTAATGACCACCTGTATAAGACAATCACCTGTGCAAAAACGGCCACTCCCC